AAGCGTATCAGCGGCGGGCCAGCGGAAGTTTATGTGGCTACAAGACCTCCGCTGCTGACACCATCTTTGACAGCAGAGCTCGGCCTGGGATTGGAGCTCGTAGCTGCTGCGATTCCAGCAGATGCTCCCTGAAAGCCAACCATGCTTTGAGTCAGCTACGTATTGTCTTCACCAGCTGCTTGGAGTTGGCTCCAGCTGAACGTACCTCCTGCGGGTGTCAGCTGTGCCCACCCACGTTCACACGTCCCTGTCGCCGGGATGGCATTTTCATTAGTCACTGTATTTATCCACTTCTAACGAATCAGTTTTCTTGCTAACGCGGTATTTGAGCTGAGCCGTTGCTCCAGGCTCACCTGGAAGGTAGCTCTGCTTCTTGAGCTTTTCAAAGAGCTGCGGCTGGGTACAACCTGCCCCGTTTCTCCTAGCTGTGGCAGGACCGGGGGACTCCTCCTTGGCTCTCCTAACCAAGACTCTGTAGCTACCAGGCTGCAGGGTCAGCCTTTCGCAGGGAGTGTTTAATTATTTGCACAAGGATGACAAACTCCAATGGGGAAGGTCTAAAAAAAGCCCTTTCCACACAGGCTCAGCACCCGGAGCTGCAGCAGGTGTCTTAGGGTTCACATCTCTCTCGTCTGGCTCAAAGTCAAACTGCTCCACCCTCAGCGCTCATCAAACCCTAAAAATTTTTGAGTTCACTCTATTTGGGAATAAGCAATTCATAAATATCTTTGGATGGGAAACCTGGGGCTCCTGTAAGCCAGAGGGGTCCGTGAACGCAGGCACCGTTCAGCATTCCTCCAGCTGACTGCACCCTAGGGCTCATGAGATGAGTGAGGTTCAAGCACCAGCAGCTGAACTTACAGCGACCCCGTTCTCCTGCCCAGCTCAGCAACCCTCAGCGCGAGGAGCTGCTTGGTGCTGGTCAGGAGTACCTTGGCCAAAATGCGTTCCCTGGAGAAGCGCAGCCATCCAAGAGGGGCTTTCTGCTCCTGACAGTGTTACACAGGGGTTTGGGCTTTGCAGCTACAGGGAAATAAATAGGAGAAGGGAGAAGCTGCAGTGGCTGGTTTTCAACCCTGAAAGGAAGACGACGACTGTTTCTCTTCCTCGCTACTCCATTAACTAGTTTTACCTTGAGAGTGGGATTTCCCCGCAGACCTGAGC